CATTAAATCTTTAATATATTTAAAATAAATTCTAAAATATTCCATAATAATATTAACTTATATAAAATTACCTCAAATCTTCTAAAAGATTGGGATTCGTTATATAAAGTTTTGGAACTAATTCGTTCAATATCCATTGCAATGAGCAATTACAAATAAATGGATTTCCTTGCAGATTAATGAGATATTTTAAATTTGAAACATTTTTATTGTAAACATTTATATTAAATAATTTTGATGGCAAGTGAGTAAAATAATTATTGCTCAAATCTAGCTGAAAAATGAAAAAAATTGTGTAACAAACATATTTTTTTAAAAGAAATATTTTTATATAAAAAACTTGTGTATATAAAATACTCACAGAGCAAATATTCATATGTCGAAAAACATTTTCCTCAATCACACTCAACTTTTTATTACTCGAAATAGTTATATTGATACAACTATTTTTCTTCTCCTTTAACATTAGAAATGTTTCTTGATCAATTTTCTCAAACGTTTTCGTAAATTTTACTTCAAATATTTCCAAATTTAATTCAGACCGAATTTTTATATCTTTCAAATGATTCCCACTGATCTTAAAAATTCTTAAACTTGGAAAATTTTTAATAGAAATAGTTTCAGGTATTATTGTTAAATTATTGAAGGATACATCTAACGTCTCTAAACTTTTTAGAAAAACTTCTGGAAAGTTTGATAAGAAATTTCCACTGATATTTAATTTTTTTAATTCTTCCAATAAGGTCAAATTGTTACATATGTTAGAAATGCTATTGTTTTGAATGTTTAAGGTATGAATTGATGATTTTTGAAATGATATAATATTAATAAAATTGTTTTCCGTGTAAAGTTCCAACAATGACAACGGAAGATTTTGGAGATTTAGGGAGAGAAGCTGATTATTGTTCACGTGAAGAATCTTCAAATGTTGCATATAAAGTAAAGAATTGACTGGGAGAGTAGTAAATTTATTGAAGGAGAGATTTAAATATTCCAATTCCGGCATAACATCGAGGAAATTCTGTAAAATATTAAAGTATTAAAGTGAAACTTAATAAAAGTAATGTTAATAATTACGTATTGCAATAACTACGTATAATTATATTATTAATTATATTATTTTATTAGCATTACTATAATAAATGTCACTAAAATTTTGTTTGCTGTTAGAAATAAAATTAATCTTTTATTGTTAAAACTACTGTATTACCAAATCAACAAGATTGTTGTGAGATACATCAAAGACTTTTAACTTTGTTGTTACGTTTTCTGAACTTTTTTCCAAATTGTTCATATGATTATAACTCAAATTAAATTTGGAAAGGGAAGAAGCTGTACTTAAGACAGAAATATCGAAATCCCAAAGTAAATTGCTAGAATAATCTAAATCTTCGAGCTCATTTAGATTCTTAAGGATGTCTGAATGTATATTATCCAATTTATTTTGAGACAAATCCAATCCTTTTAAATGTTTCAAATGTTTTAATTCATTTAGAGGTAAAAGCACTATATTGTTCTTTGAAAAAATAAGTTTGTTTAATGATCGATGCTTGTCTAAAGTAAGAAGATCGAAGTTAAGAACTTCATTGGTTCCCAAATGTCTGTCATGACAATCAATAATTGGTCCTACATCTGTAAGAATATGTAATATTATATTGATATTTATGATTTATATTCTTAGCGTATCTCTTATTACAAATCATATATTGTGATATATTATTATTTATGATAACAATGATAATGACAAAAATGTATTGCCATGTATTTATTGATTTATTTATTGTCATTTATTAATTTATTGAATCTTATAATTTTTTAAAATATAACGCATATAACTTTTACAATTAATAATAATGATATAATAACAAAAGTATCGTGTATTTATTATTTTTTTAACCGATTCCTTCTACTATTTCCTCCGCGGCGGTAGATCTTATCATTCTTTTTCTTTTAAACTTACTTGAAGTAGAACATCCACAGACTTCACATATATCGCACAAACATTCGTTGCATAGAAATAAAAGCGACAGTGCAATAATATTAAACATTATAAGATCCGTACTGTGATTTTATACGCAGGCTATCACTAAATGTATATATTTAATTATATAGTAGATACACGCCTACTATAGTCGATAGCATATCTGATAAGTGCGTTAACCATGTGAGTAATATGAGATTACATACTACTCATCTTGCGAGAAACATAGGTGCGACAAATATTATTTAATTAATTATTGATATAATTCACAATTTCTTACAATTATGTAGAAACAATTTTAATTTTTTATAAATTTTAATCCATTTCATTGATGTAAGAAATAAATTCAGATGTTATGTACATAAAGTCGAGACAATAAATGTGAGTACAAGCTTTTTTAAGTATCCATAACAATCAAATCAGCATCAATAACAATTAAATTGTCGTATTCAATAATTACAATATTAATCACGTATATAAATTTAAAATACTTCCGCCATTAAATATAGGCATGTGACATACACTTTCAGTACTAAAAATCTATAATATATTTAACGTGAACTATAGATTTTAATACTAACAATGTATACAACAAGATCATAGTAGAATGTCTATTTTATAGATATTCTTTTATTATGGAACAGCATCCCTCTTAAAATGATCGAATTTTTGTTTCAGATTTCGTGAATTTAATTTAAGAAAAATGTGATTTGATTTTATTTTGACAAAATTTAATATCCTCATTATTCATTATTCCCGGTTGCATTCCCGGTATTCATCTGAATGTGAAGCAATTTATTTATCTGTAAAAATTGATTATCATTCTATTATTGTAATGATAGAAAAACAATACTAAGAGAAATAAACAAATAAAATAAAAATATTAGAAAAAAGTTATAATTTGTCTATAAAATTAATGGAGAATTTGATAGACAATGAAAAATAAAGTCTAATATAATATATAGGTAATCTCTTACAAAAAATATTAAAATATAAAATCATCAGTTTATTGTTTACAGACATGATTATATTATTTTAAAAACAAATGAACATGCATCCAACTTAATTGGACAATTGTAAAACAATTCTAGCATTTCTTAAAAAAATTTGTAAGCGTGGACTGTTTTTTTTTCACTTTTTCCATTTTAGCTTCTATTTTTTTCTGCTCTTTTCTTTTTATTTCTTCTTTTTCTTCCTCATCTTCAGAACAACTTACATAAACATGTTCTTTCTTTGTTACAATATATTCGCCTTCTTTATAAGTTCTATTAATTAATTTTAATATTTTTCTTTTACCATTTTCATGTTTTACTTTTGGTGGAGAAGGACTCTTTGCTTTCATAGGAATTTCTGGTTCCATTTCAGGAACCGACTCTTCCATCTCTATATCACTTTGTATCTCTGAATCACTAGAATCAGTTTGCGTAACAATTCTCTTCCGTTTCTTAGCAACTTCATTTGTTTCTTTACTTCTATTCCGCTTTTTTCCATGCGACTTCTTCTTTTCTTTAATTACTTTTCCTTCGGTAAATTCTTTTTTGGCATTATCATTTTTCTTTTCCGATGATATTACTTCTGCAGTAGATTTTGGAGGAGAGGGCAGCTTTTCAAAAAAATTATCCAAGTTTCCCTTTTTAAAATTATTTTGTGGGGATATTTTTTTAATGGTAGGATTGGCCATGGAATTTTTATTTTTCTCAGTTAAATTTTGAATTTTTTCTACAGAATTTTTGGAAAAATCTTTATCTTTCAAAATAAAATTTTTATCTTTTTCTGCAATATTTTTTTCCTTTTTCATTGAATCTTTATCACTTTCTTGGAATGATTTTAATTTTTCAGAATTCTTTGATTTTTCCACCATGTTAAATAAATTATTAAATCCATTTTTCTTTGTTGCCTTTGAATTCTTTTCTACCTTTGACGAATTTGTCAAATTTGTAGATTTTAAATTTGTCACATTTTCCATTGTAACTTTTTTAGTTGTACCCCAACGTAATAGTTGCATTTCTTCATCAGTTCGTTCTTTGCAGGCATCACATTTTATAGCGCTATAAGTTGTATCACCTGAACCAGAAGTGGCAAGTAATTCCAGATCTGCAATTGGCTTGTGGACACTATAGACATGTTCCGAGATAATTTTACTGAATTTTTCTTTAGCCTTGGATAAATTGGATCCTTTAACAACTTCTACACGTATTCCTTTCTCCTTTAGATGACCTATCAATAAATACGTGCATTCTATGTTATTGTTGCTTTGATACTTTTGATAAAAATCCCACAAGATTTGTTTTGCTATATTAACATGGATACGCAGCTCTTTGCTTAGCCATTTGTAGGTGATCTAAAAATATACATCATTGCATTATACATGATATAGAATAATAATAAATAAAATATTTATACAAAATACAATGCGAAATATATTATACATAAATTGCGATAAAATTACCAGCTTGTCATTGTCAAAAACATGATCAGCCAAAGTCTCTAAATGCTCATTCAATGTTTCGGTATCCATTTTTCAACAATTCGTATCCCAAATGATTGCTTATTAACAATATGGATCCACACTCGTAATTAAATTTCCACCAAACTTTTCTTCTCTGTATATTGACCCCGCACTTCGAAATGAATAATCAGTAATAAATTTTCCCCTCAAACTTTCCACAAGGAAATCCGGGGAAATTGAATGAATAAACGTTATTGAGTAAATGTAACATTTGTTGAATTACAAAAGGCGGTAAACCAGAAACTTTCAAAAAATAAAACGTTTGTACGTAGCTGTTCTAATAATGGTAAAGTTAGGTTAGGTGAGGCCATCTTTTCCAATAAGAGTACTAATTGGTTGTCTACATCATGTGATCACAATGCACCATAGTTTTTTACTTTATTTAAAAACAAACTCCAAAATTTATTTATCAATTTATGATCGATTGTATAATTCATTACTTCATCTAATGACAAATTTTTATTTTATTAAGTGTTTCAACACTTTAAATGTATTTCAACACTTGAAATATGAATTTAAAGGTTAAAAAAAAATATTTCAAGAGAAAGAAAATTTAACAGAAGGAAAACACTGTATACTAGATTCACAAAGTTGAATTAAATATGTGCGAGTTTGTATAAGAACGCTTTTGCATTCAAGAGAATTATATATACAATATGTGAATAATTTTTTTATTTACAACTTTATGTATTAGTTACATTACTTACATTTATTTACTTATAATATGAATTATATTTACTATGAATATAATTATGTTCATAATGAAGGGCATAAAGGAAATTATAATGTTACATGCATATTTAACATCCTTCCTTTTAGCACGTACTTTTCGATTTATTCTTTGCTATATTTTTCTTAACTTGTTCCAACACCGATGTATCCTTAAAAATAATATAATATATGTGAAACGTTTTATTATAATTAATAATATAAATAATGTGAGTGTAATATTTAATTTATATTAGCGTATGTGATTGCATTTTTCTACTTACCATAGCTGTAATAAGTAATGAGCAATCATTTGTATGCATATATTGGACGATACAAACACCATCTGAATTATTATCTCTTATCATCCTGTTAAAATTGCCATTATTCGTTGATTCTGTTAAATGGATAGGCATGTTCCAAATTTTGCTTGCTCCTTTGATAAGGTTTACATTTTCCCGATAAAAATTGTAATCGCGCACATTGTTAACCAGAATATTAACTGTGCAAATACAAACATTTATTAAAATTTATCCTATATATTTAAATTATTTAATTAGTGCATCAACTTGGTAACCAATTGTCAACGAGATCTACCTTCTGGATTTGATTTTTTGCTCACGTTTGCCATGCAACTTCTAATCGCATTTGTTACATCCACGAGTTCACGTATCCTTTCCTCCAACCTGATATCTCTCAGATGCTTGAACTAATGAAAGAAGAAATGAGAAATAAAAAAAATAAAGTATCTAACACGTATAGTAGCGTTCAGAAGAAAAAGAATGAAAGAAAATTATATAGCAAAAAAATTGGTAATATAGAGACTATTTTTTTACATACTTCGTATGGCATAGGATAGGAAGTCTCAAGCAACGAGGCGACTGATAAAAATCCTGGTAGTCCCTTCTTGGCAAGTCTTGCATACAAATCGTCCGATAGGTAGGGTGTTACAGGTGCGAGAATGCGTAATGATACTTCCAAGCATTTTGCAAGAGTATTGGAATGCCCAGCGGAATTACCGCTTCTAAACCCAAATTTTGTACCCTCCTATATTTAAAGGAAAACATTTCCTTAATTAAAATAAAGAATTACTTTTATTAGATAATTTAAGAAAATTTAGATTAATAAGAATAATCATATTAAAGTATGATTTATATATTTAATCTTACAATTGAAATCTGAAAATTTTTTCTTAACATTCTTACAAAATTCAGAAAATTTATAAAAATCTTAAATTATTATTATATCATATTAAATAAAATTTATACAGCACATTTATATAACATACCACATAGAAATCACAAAATTCATAATACAGAAATTGACGAATTGCGGTTATCGCTTTATGAAAATTTCGTTCGGTAAATGCATTATTTACTACTTCAACCATCCACGATAATCGACTGAGAATCCATCGATCTAGGTCATTCAGACTTTCCTTTTCTACATTTTCGTGTTGGTCCTCCTTTGTCATTAATAATATGTATTTGCTTGCTTGCCAAATCTTGTTACAAAAATACTTGCTTGTCCGACAATCGTCCACATTAAAACTGATAGTATGATCTATAAGAGGAAAGTATCTATAAGGAAAAGAGACAAGAGTCTCTCTTTCTTAAGATTTAATGCACTTACTCTTAATATTGCGTGCACATAATGATAGTCTCAAGGCATCGGCACCGCAATCTGGTATTCCCATAGAGTACGTTTTTGTATTAACACGCAGCGTTCGCTGCAATTCTTCAGCACTAAGAATACCTGCAGCGTAACTATGTCTTGCTTGCTCGTTCAATTCCTACATTATAATTGTGTGTCTAAGATCAATTTTTAAATAATAGAATTATAACACATCAATAAAAAAAAAGCAATTTTAGTTTGTTGATATTTAATTTTCATTACAGAGATTATAAGTATTTCTATA